TGTGATGGTGGCTCAAACCTGGGGCGAGGCCACTCGTCTGCCACAGTGCCGTGGATCAGACGACCGAGTAGGCCAGTGGGTTTTTAAAAACACAATTAATTGTATTTTGCCTCAGACTTGGGAATAAAGCGTTTGTGTGCTGATTCGGTGTGTGTTCTCTCTGTTGACGCGGCTGGGTAAACCAGGCAACCAACATGGTGTCAGAGGTCCAGCGGTGCAAAACCCCACACGCGATTGAGAAGCAATCAATGATCTCATTGCCAACCCCGCTAGAGATGAGAGAAAGCACCTTACCGAACAATTAGAAAGCGGATTGGATGGATTTCGCGTCGTTAATCCAGTTGAATGAATATCCAAGACCATACCAGTTAACATTGTTCAGATATTCCATCGGCTCTGAAGCAAGTCGTATACTGGAGGCCTGAGATTTTCGGGACCATTAACCGGATCTTTTGGAAATACTCCAGCGATTATAAGAATAATGTGAAGGTTGGTCGTATTCTTTTACTCCTTGCCGCCGAGTGGCCGAGAATCGTTCAATCGAGTCTGAAAGCGATCGTCAGTCGCAAGATCGGTTACCAAATACCTTGGAACATCAAGGTCAGCATTGCATTTCTGCAATGTCCCAGATTCAAGGATTACCACTACCGTCAAAATTTGATTCAAGAGCCACCTTGAGTACATTGCCCAAGAAACAATACATCGGAGTGCAGTGCAATGTGACACAGGGTTGTTACAAAAGGCGGAACGACCTCATGGTACACCCGAATGGGAAGACTGTGGTGGACACCCTCAAGAAAGCAACAAGTAGACTTGTCGAAGTCAAAGCGACACATGAGGATCCTTATCTAATGCTACTGGGAAGAAATACGCGTTCTACCGAATTCGGCAGCAGTCCAGTGCAGCTTCAATTCAGTCACAGAGTAGAACACAAGCTCGCCCGCAGTGGATGAGGATATGACAAATGCAACACAAAAACCGCGAAAAAATGAAAAAGGTATGGATGTGATGGTGGCTGAAACCTGAGACGAGGCCAATCGTCTGCCACAGTGCGGTCGATCAGACGATCGATCGAGTGGGCCAGTGGGTTTTTAAAAACACAGTTAGTTGTACTTTGCCTCAGACTTGGGAATAGAGCGTTTGTGTGTTGAGTCGGTGTGAATTCTTTCTGTTGACTCGGCTGGGTGAACCAGCCGATGTTAAGATTATGTGTAGATTCGTAATTTCTCACATCGATCTTGGCACGGTACATCCCGTGTTGAACCTGTTCGATCCTTTGTACCTCGTGTGGGTAAGCCGTACTGTAGCATCGGCCTTACGATAGAGGAGAAGAAGGTAGTGGCGACCTGTTCAGACCAACTACATTAACTACGTTTGAGTGTCCAAGGCATGCGCATTCCGTTTCGCTGTAGCCTGTTGTGTTGTCCGCGTGTGGCGCACTGCTCGTCAGTAGTATGAGCGAAAATGAGGAGGCGCGGGCGAATCAAGGAAATTGTGGATTGCCTGACTAAACACACGTAGTGGAAAAGTCTCCCCGCCTATACCTTGTGAGTGATGAGGCGCAGCAGAGCAGCGAGTTGGAAGGGTACAACGAGGGAAGTGCGCAGGTTGGCGCTGAGGTTCCATGTTCGAACTGTTATCTAGACGCTGGTTCTCCAGTATACAACTCGTTTACACCACGTCGCTTTCTCAACACGCAGATCTCAAATTACGCCTGGAGAATAGGTTAAGGTTCTTCACGGACAGTTTCGAATGTACCGGTTGGCCGTTAAAGCAGTAAGATCGGCCGTCACCACCCTTCCCTTAGCTCATGAAACCCGATTGGATTGGGTAGGCAGACTTCTGCATACCACATGGAGAGGTAGTTGGAGTTTCGATGAAGTAGCCTGAAATCGTCGGGATCTTAACCACCCTCTGATAAAGCTTCTGGCCCACACATATCACCTCCCATCAAAATACCGTCCCAATGATTGAGGGCTATTTTACAAAGCCACACAAAAGCTCTTGTATCAGTCTCTGCAGTGCTCTATATTACCCAGACGTCTCGTGTGCCTGGATATTTATGCTATACCTCCTAGGAATGATGGGTGAACACTTGAGTAATTTGGCAAATATCCTCGCGTGCTTGTTCTGCTTTTGATTTAAAGCGTAACTTTGGAAGCACCATACCCACCGAACGGAGCCGCAGACCTCATGGCATCTAACTCGTAGTTAACGTGCATCCGCACAGATTATTTGAGTATCGTTCGGTGTTCTTACGATAGACACTTACTCCACAGTCCTTTACAATTTTATTCCCCCACGCGATCTGCTAACAAATACATGAGGGCGCTTCCTCGATTACGAGTGCTGTATGTAAATAAATAAATAAATACGATGTTTTGGAGTACACACGAGACACACCAGTGCACTGGCACTCGTACTGCCCTTTTCGACTCTCACTGTTAGTAAGCTGATCAATTTTCACTGTACAGTCAAATCTGTAACACTACGTTCGTAATCGTATTATGAAACCTGTTCTTATATAAGTGCGATGTGTTCAGAGATGATTGGTTGTTGAACTTTTCAGTTAGATCCACCAAAGAAACCTTTATCCAAACCTTCTCTACGATATGATGGTTCATTTGGTTTGTCTAACAATTGTTGCTATGCGTCGCTGTACATGCACTCGACGCGCACCTCAAGCCTATCGACGAGCTATTGCTACTTTCGTGGCGAAAGGTAACGAGGTTGTCGCTGACTCAACCAGCAACTTGTGGCTCTCAGTGTTAATCCTGTCTTTTTCATGTTGAATTACACATTACAGTAGTCGATAATCGATGCTAGCATGCAGCGCGCATTTCTAAGACATCGTATTCCACTGTCACTCCTCCTTGGCGGCTGAAGACACGGATCCAGATCGCACTTGGATTTGAGACATACACACTGTTAACAGCTGTTCATCCCTTCACTTAGATCTTATTAGCTGTCTCTATTCAAGTGCTCCTTACCTTTCATTTCTTCAGTTCCATCTACAACAATCCCACTGGGCTACCGAAATTGTCAACGCAGATACACCAAGGCGGGTTTGATCGAGTAGCGAGCCTTGTTTCTTGGGCTTACTAGAGATGAGAGAGGCATCAACAGTACGCCGATACACAGTACCGACGCTTGGCTGCAGCTCAGCCACCAGCAGCCGCACTTGGGGTAAAGACACTGGGGGGGGGGTCGCCCGGTCCCCTACTCAAGGTCGAACCCGCGCCCTCAGATTACAAGGCAGGCTTGTGATCCTAATGCTATTTGCCGGCATTTATCAGACCACTGTTGGGGATCGAACTCATGACTGCTAGTGACCACTAGCCAGCAGCTTATGCTCCTATGCCAAGGGAAATGGAAGTTCGGGGCCGACGCCAAAACTACGTGGGACCCCACTGGTCATAAAAACAAGATCGTGTGTTTTGAGATTATTCGTCGCAGCTAGACTCAGCTAGATAGCCACCACATATCAAGAAAAGCGCTAGATGGCCGTGTCGTCCTCTTGGAACTCGTCAGCAGCGCGCACCCATGACCTAACACTTGCGAGGCAGCGACTTATGCCACTGAGCCATAGGTGACGCTACTAGCGATGGATGTTTGACTAACAGAGTGACAGGGTGTTCTTAATAGCTTGTAGGATGGTTTTATAAGCAAATGTGAGCTAAATGTTGCCCAAATCTGCACACCTGTTTCGAGACGGCTGGATTGTTCTAAGATCTTTGCTTATGATTGCGTGAAATCAGCTACTTCTGTCGCTGATGGAACACGCTGTCAATCTGCTCGACTCGCTTCGTCAACATCACATCAGTATAAGTGAACACACAGACAGTTAACCAACGCCGAGGGCCTCCCTGCACGCATTACTGAAGATGGCCGGCTGCATCAGGACACCAACTTCAGAAAGGTCTGCGGAGTGTCACTGAGTTTGGAATAAACCCGATTAACGTCATCACTGAGTGATCCTTGTGTTCAGTTTGCAGTGAGCTACTTTGTCAATACTTTCAAATAGTTCAGCGCGACTGGTGATCATGTGTTTTTCGGTTACAGTGGATTCCGTACCAGTGATCTCAGAAGGACTGGAAGCTTTAGACTGGTGCGGTCACGGTTGCGGTGGTGACATGATACCACACGGAGCATGTTAGTGACGGATGGAATGGGCGATTTGAGTGGACACGAAACCAACAGCCTGGCAGCTAACCGATCGCCGCCAATGCAACCTGGTAGTTCTTACACTGGCTGGATTGAAAGTACGATGGATTTGGGTGGACATTCTCAAAGTTCGAACGCCAACTGTGAAAGCAATAGCGATATATGTAAAGTGGGCTTACGATCTTTGAATAACGGAATTTTGATCCAGACCTAGACTTTGTTTTCGATTCTCAGCGGACCATAACGACGACGGTGGGTGTGGTGCCCTTATATGCGTCTGTGTGTGTGTGTGTGCACTTGTGAAGGGTATGTAATTTTGTTGAGAAGTTTCATCGCAGCTAGACCTAGAAAGACAGTCACCAGCAAAGCGCTAGACGGCCGTTTTGTCCTATTGGGACTCGTCATTAGCACGCATCCACCGAATTCTGCCAGACTCGAACCCATGATCCTAATCTTACGAGCCAGCGACTTAGGCCACTGAGTCATGGATGACGGCAGCAGATCGCAATGACTGATATCTAACTGTGGCAAAGCGCTGCTCATCCTCCACTATCATGCATTTTATGAATGTGCAGGGTACAGGGCTGGATCCCAAAGCCAGCCAGTGTCTGTAATTTGTCTACTACGCCGATTGTTATTCTGACTGAGACGTCAACTTCAATTGTCCACTTTCGCGGCACAATAGCTGAGGCGTTTTCCACCTCTAACTAACATGTATACTGATGATCACACTGTTCCCTTCGTAGTCTATTGTCGACTACGAGCAGCAGTTTTGCGTTACGCAAGTTTCTTGAAATACTGCACTACGTTTCTCTTCAACTTCATCTCTTACCGTCATGTTAGGAGCGCAGGTCTGTGGATATTGTACCATATTGGAACAAAGTTCATCTGACCTGCCAGGCGGTCTTCATGACCAATGAAATTACGGTCTTCCAGTTACTAAACGTGTTCGCTTGTTTGCTAATTGGCACTTTCTCATACGTCTGTTTATGTGCTTTTTTCGAACTTCTGCTCGTAGTTTTGCTATAACTATTCGTCCCACGTATTGTTTTAACTATGCATTATCCTTCGATTAATATATGATAAAATACCACAATGTTTGCATTCATGCTATCTCAGCCTACAACCCGTCTATCTCTACCAACTCACCCAACTCTACTGATCTTTTCTCCAGGCTCATTATCTCTTCAAGCACGGTCATATACCAGAAAGTTTGGGCGGTCTGACGCCTACTGCTGAGGAGGCTGCCTTGTTACGGAAGCGCCCTCTGGACGATTCTGCGGGGTGCAGTTCTAATTTCTCCGATTCGTCGGACACTAGCGTTGAGTCAACCCGTCACGTGAACATGCGACGCACGTCTCGCCAAGCAATCCGATGCACCCGAAAGCTCGGTCCCATGATTCGATTCCCACAGGCATTACGGGCCGGGCAACCTGTCGGTTCGGCGTCATCTTCTCAAACGGACGATGCATGTACTCGGGAGATACCCTCAAAACAGCGATCAACGGATTCTTTTCCCTCCTCTGAGTCCCATAAGCGCATAAGAAAGACACGATCTAAGACGAACTCGGTCGACTCTACTGTAAGTCGTTTGATTCATTTCCTTCCTTTGTTCTGTTACCTTCATCACCATCAGGGACAACTAATCCGTGGGAGTTGTTCTAAGGTGTGTGCTCGTTACTCATAGCTTTCTTTACATTGTATCACATTCACTACGTCTCCGCGGTGGTTTCGTTTGGCGGTGCATTTTCCTCTATGTGGCGGTTGAACTCTTCACTGAGCTTGGCAATTTTGTTGCAAACGTTTCGTCACACATCGAGATGATGTCATCAGTGCGTAGTTGAATGGCGTGCAGTAGCGTAGAGGAACCTCGGCGAGAGTGGGCTCATTACAACTAAACTCAGTCACGTAGAAAATGTCATCCAGAAAAGTGTTATACGGCCATTTCATTCTTTTCAGACCTATCAACGACACACATTCGCCCGAGTCCTTCCAGATTCGAATCCTTGACTGTCCAGGTTGTGCCTATAGGCCATACGTTATGATGGAGCCCTATTTGTCTAGGTCAACAATTGGTATAGTGCCTGTAACAGACAAATTAATTTGTTCAACCTATCTGGAGATTCCTCCTATTGTTTGACTTCAAAACGACCAATCATTACCTCTCGATTGCTTTTTGGACTTTGCGTGATAAAACCTCAGTTCCTTTGTTACTCGTTCACATTTAAACCTTGAGTAACCACAAGCGTTTACTCGTTTTGCTTCGCTCAATGGTTAAGCTTGCTATTCCCACCTTCTGTCTTAGTCCTTGTGCGTGTTATACGGTCCAGTTACACCCTCAACTTCATTGGTCTGTACTGGTCCCGTCCTACTTCCTTTATTTGCATGACCGAACACTCATCCAGGCATTCACATTTACTCTCGTCCAGGACACGCTCGCTTTCCATATGCACTACTCATTAACTGATCGATTGACAATTGATCATTTCACTCTAAAACACGCCTCGCTTCATTAGAACCGCTTCGCTTCATTGTGCTCAGCTGTTGACCATTGATATTGATGGCACGTTGCATTTGAGAGCCGAATTATTGTACACATTTGGTCTGGAAATTGTTTGAGGTTTGTTATTACATTGATGTCTAACCATTCGTAAATAGCGCCTTAGCTCTTTTGGATTGACCCGGCTGCGCTAGGAGGTGCTCAGGTCCCAAGACCGATTTGTCGGTAACGGCGCCTCTTACTATCCGCTGGCATATACATCACGACTGCGCGGAGGACGTGTTTGACTGCACAGCAACAGGATCTTCTTTGTTAAGTCGCCAACTGTCCTATGACTGGGAGCTGCACGGCTGATTGATCTTGTCATAGTAGTAGAAATTTAAGGGGGGTTCATGTACTTCCTCAGTGGGATGGTATTCGCCGCATCTTTCCCTTGACAAAAACGAGTTTTAATAGTTGCTGATGCCCACGGCTAGCAGGCGCATAGTTACGCACAGTTCATTGATGCGATATCGATTCATCATGGAGCCAGCCACTGTCCTCTGCAAGGACAGTAGCCTGCATAAGAGTGGAGGATAGGTTGCGCTTTGTCCCAATGAGCTTACAAGACACAGCGGGCTGCCATCGTCCCGTCTGGCTCAGTTACATAAACTGCTGGCTAGGACACAAGCTGATATTGTCGGCAGGCCATGGATTCGATTTTCGACGGCCCTCGGGACTGCGCACCAATGACTAATTCAGGATTGGTCATAGTCTCTTTGGCTTGTGAGCTTTTGCGATCAGCTCCCAATGAAATTTCATCGAAAATTGATTCAGTCGTTCGTTCTCAGCTTCGCATCTTAGGGTCTTCGGATAAAACTCGTTTGATTTTAGTTGGTCGCTTATAATCCTAACACTGAAGTGCGGTGGATCCAGTTCCAACGACTCTCGCAATACTAATTAACGGTAGGATGGGGGAAATCCTATGGAAAAGTGTTAGAAAAATTTAGATGGAATGGATCGAGCTGACAGGTTGAAACACATCATCATTGGCTAGCAGACTCCGTGAACTATCTTAGGGTTCCTACTCATGCGGGCAGAACATGATCACGCCCTTCGGGATACTACCTCATGCTTCTCTGTAATGTCATCATTTGGTCACCCCACTTTTTCACTTAACTGTGTTCCACAGCGTCCAGTGTTGCACGCGGAGTGGCCGGTCAGAGTACTTGCGAAACGCACGACGTTGTCGATCGAATTGTTCGCTGAGCTTCGCACTTTTATCGCAAATGTCTCACCACCAATTGAGGTGACATCATAGTGCGTTGTTGTGTAGCGTAGGGAATCACTCGATAAGAGTGCGTGGGGATAGTATGTATGCGCTTTCATGTGTTGCCGTGTTTGGTCGTATAGACAAGTAATCTTATTGGCTGGAACATCCCACCGCGTTCTGCTTGTTAGATAGGTAAGTGACCTTTGAACTTGACCTCTCGCAATTGTGCACCGTGACCTCTACCCCGTTACTCTTGTGCTCAGGTTTATCGTCCGTTCCGTTTATCTGGTGTTCTGGTCCACCCGATTTAGTCGATTGAGCTGGCGATCTCTCGACAATAGTGTTGTGTAAGTGTCGGTTTTACTCTCACGCGCCAGAATCTTCACATTTTCCAGGTCGAAATGGCCTTTTGATCTTCATGTGCGGAAACCAACGAATATGGATCATGTCTTCTTGTGGCGACTTTATGCTCGGTGATTCATATGCGAAGCTTCTTTCTAATTTGTCCAACCTAGTTCTTACCACATTCGCTGAATCTTATCCCGTAGACAATAGTGTTTTGATTGTCTTGATCTACTCTTAGGCTTGGAAATCAATTTCCTTAAGTTGGCACTTGGCTTGTGAGCCACCGAGATTCCCAGCTCAGTGAACTGTTCGACCGTCACTGGAATAGCCTGGGCTCCTAATTCTCCTAATTCCTAGCGCACGACCCTGATAGCATCAGCGGTTCAAGGTCAATAGTTGATCCAGCGCAGCATCAGTTCGTATAATGCTAAGCCCCAACCAGTGCTCCACAGCACTACCCACGGTTTTCCCCGCAATATGTGGTCAAGGCAGCCCACTCCGTTAATGTCTTTAATGCATAGCGTGACAGCATTTGGTAGTTTGAGTGAACTGAACCGGTGTAAGCTAATGGGCAGCAAATTAGCAAGTACTTCGTACGCATACTGATTATAATTACTCCATCCGACTGGACACAGTATCGTTATGACCCAGCAACATGGTTTCAAACAGAGTGGGTGCGTTTTGAACCAAATGCGGCGAACAAACAGTGCGTGCGGGCCATTGAACTCACGACGACAAGAATTCACCCAAGGAAAAGCTTACTGCAATGAACTAGCAATCCAATGTAATGTTATCCTTCTGTTCACCAATACCCGATTTTTGATCACTACCCAGGAGGACTACGGGACACATTGTAGGCATGTCACTGCTTCCGCCAGCGAGCTGATAACTCAGTTTCCATTGGCGCTTCACGAGGTCTGACCTTTAGACTCAGGGCAATCGTATATACCAATGAACAATTTCAGCACTTCAGCCAATGTGCCTTGATTGTAGGAACTGATGCCGCAGCAGCGTTACACTTAGCGTTCTCGAAGTACACACCGAAGCATTTTCTAAGGTCTTGGGGTCCACCAAAACACTGCTGTTTTATCGGTGTATTATTACGTTGTTGGAATTGAGTTATCTGTAAGTGTCCCCATCCTATGTTTCATGACAAAAATGTAAACCTACATATCTCACAAAAAGCAGCTCTTGTATCATGCCGAATTGTGAGACTGGCGGTCGCGTTATGCAACCTTCTCGGCAGAAAGTAGTTGTGCCGGTGCAGCAGCTCTTCAGCGTTTGTCAGCACCCCAGTGTATCACAAAAAATTGAGTCTTCCATGATCTTGGAGTTTCAAAATCATTCCTCATAGGTCTAATCTAGTCACTGCGGAACTTTAAAGTGTTTTGTAGAAGTTCCCCGTAGTCACTGCGCATTCATTTTATTGGGTCTGACTCATCAACAGTGCATCCCTTTCGAGTTCTTTCGCATTCGAACCCATTACACTATCTTTATACACGCGGCAGCGATCTGGTACGCTGATCCATGCCTAACTGGGACTGACATCCGTGATTAGTTCCTTGTATCCTCACTGTCTAGCCATTTCCCCCATCTATCCGATCCCAGAACACCATCTCTCACTAATTTGTTCGAACATGATTGACTTTGGTTTTCCAAGACACTTTGCGGTGAACTTTTCCCCCATTCTTCCTCTCTCTCCACTTTGAGATTCTGGCTAATACACCGCCGATACTCTCTTCGCCCCAATTCACAGGAGCTGCCAAATCCTAGCGGTGATGCACCATCGCACACCAATGCGGAACAGGTGCCGCACAGTGAAGCGTGCTGGGTGCTGCGGCCCTCCCAAGGTGGTACTTGTCCCTCGTCATCGGTCTACCAATGCAAGTTGTGTCAACCTGTTTGTTCCAGGCTGTTCAATTTACCACGACATCCCAAACAAGCACACAGAGATGTGTTTCAGTTCTATTGCGGGTATTGTGGTTTCCGCGCCGATGCTCTAGGTGCATTGGATGAACACTTGGCGCGCCACCTTCGACTCAAGCAGTTTGCTTGCGAGGTGAGTCGGGCACCGCTCCTGGATGATCTTCCTGACTTTGAGACTTCGCAGTTCGATTTTCACATCTGTTCACTAATCCTTGTAAACTGTGCATGGCCACCATTGGATGTGCAATGTTTGCAAACGCTGTTCGTCTGGACTTTTTGTGCCCTTTGGATTTAGCTCCTCACTGTCTTTTTAGAATCTCGGCTCTCAACTTCTCACTCCACCTACCGATTCGAGTCCTACAATCATTTCACCATCTGCTGGGGGTTTTTCGCAGTAGTCCCCAAATAAGATAATACTTACTCTACGTGCCCGGCGAAACACCAGACGGCCGTTTCGACCTGTTGGGTCTTGTCATTAGAACATATCCATCAGCTCCCTTACTATCCGAACTCATGACCCCTAGCGGTTTGAATCACCAGTCGGCATCTTATGCCATTGGACCATGGGGACAGCAGTGGAGCGTCATGATTTACAAGCCAACTGCGATGTAGCGCGTCTTATTATTCACTCATGCCCCTCAGGCATAGGACAAGGTTGGCTCCGAGAGTCATGACTTCCACCAACCGTGGCTATGTACGGCATGACATTTGCCTTTCGATGAAATTTGGCCATATGCCGCTTGTCTTTACACTCGTTGCGGCGTTTCTATCATAAGTCCCTATTATTTGACCTGCTCCATTCAAAGGAGCGAGTCTGATAACGGGCAACATGACTACCCGGGTGCCGTATACTCATTCTGCACAATGACTATCCATTAAATAAAGGGATAAAGGGGATCTGAACGCAAAAATATATTATCCTAAGACGTGGCGAAGTTCCCATTGGAGCATCAGAAAAACAGGACTGAACGTATATATAAAGCTCATGTGTCTTAAATGCTATATGCGAGTAGGACTAAGCCAAGAGCAAAACTGTCTTCATAAATGCACCAAGTCCGAAGAACTAACCAACCACCGGTGTGACTGATCCTATATATGGTTGGCGGCTTCCGGTTTCGTATTTGTCTATCATTGTGACCAGCCACAGGACGCCTGCGCCTACAGAGGGACAATGCGTGGCTTGCGCTGCACCACCCACAGCTCCAACCACACACGCATGTCCAGTGTAAACCCTAAGGTATTAAACCGGGTGGCATGTGGATGGGAGCCAGGTTTCATCAATGGAGCCAGACCACACTCCTTCAGAGGCAAACACAAGCACGCTGTATTTGGGGAATCAAGCGCACACAAGGCGGTGGCTTGACCGTAGTCCGCTCTACACTGAGTGCATGGAACCACACTTCGAGCCTAGCACGGCCACAAGGACCGCGCACCCCGTCCCCTCCAGCAACGACCAGCTGTTTGCTGGAGCCAGTATGGACGAGGTAGTGGGTAATAGACATGTAGGCACCTTGTCAATATGCTCATCAAGCGCAGCCACACCTGGGATGTTAAACAACAGCCAATCATTCGAAGTGCCGATATCGAATCAAGTAAACGCATATGACGACATAAATGCTCGCTAAATGAGCATATAAAAAATCGGTTAAGTGTGAATCTGCGAAAGTACAAAATGTCCGAAAGTCATTTAAAAAATACCACGCGATAAAATTACGCGTTTACCCCAATTTGCATGAGCGACGTGTGTAAGTTGGGAGAAGATTATCAAGTAGGCAGAAATAAAATAAAATGTAATGAATGTTATCCGCATTAAAATGACTTAGTTTAAGTGTAAGTTTGTTTAACCCAACTGCGGTGAAGAAGCGTCGTGAATGCGACATCCGCCTCAGCTTGGGGCACACACACATACATCGTTGGCGGCATCCGGTTTCGGATTTGCCTGTCACTGTGGCCAGCCACAGGACGCCTGCGCCTACAGTGGGACCATGAGTGATTTGAGCTGCACCACCCACAACTCCAACCACACACCCCATATCCAGTGTAAACCCGAAGGAATAAGACCGGGAGGCATGTGGATGGGAGCCACGTTTCATCAACGGAGCCGGCCCACACTCCTTCACAGGCAAACACAAGCACCCTGTATTTGGGGAATGAATCACACACGAGGTGGTGGCTGGACCGTAGTCCACTCTACGGTGAGTGCGTGGAACCAATCTTTGATCCTAACACAGTCACCAGAACCGTGCACCCTGTCCCCTCCAGCAACGAGCAACTGTCTGCTAGAGCCAGTATGGATGAGCTAGTGGGTAATAGACATGTAGGCATCTTGTCAACCTGCACAATAAGTGCGGCCACACCGGGGATATCAAGCAACAGCCAATCACTTGGAACGACAAGATGAAAGCAAATAAATAGGATAATGCATACAGACACGGCGGCGTAACTCTTCACTAATTGTACTTGTAAAAAATGATTACGAACGAATTCGCGATAAGTGCAAGAGGTCAGAATACATATTTTACGAAAATGCCACAAACACGAAAATGTTATCGAAATTAACTACAATTGGCTTAAGCGACTTTTGCAAGTTTATAGAAGATAGTGCAAGTAGACAATGATATGAGAAAGAAAATCATTAAGAGAAAAGTACAAACCTACCACCTGAAATAAAGAGATTTCGCATGCAAGCACGCGGTTAGTAACTCGAATGCAGCGTACCTACAAACGCTGCGCGGTTCTGTCTACGTTCTCTGCAGAACTTGTCGTCGCTTCGGTGGTGGTCCCGAGTGGCCTCGCTCATGGCTTACTAGGCCTGCCTGACTCAGGCGTTCGCGACATCTCGAACATCTCGAATCCACTCTAGAACAGGAATGGCTGCTTTGATTATGTCCTGGTAGCGTAACTTCGGTTTTCCGACATACCGCTTCCCTGCACTCCGTTGGCCATACAGCAGCTGTTTAGGTATCCGCGTCGAATCCATATGCCACACATAACCAAGCCGCCTCGAGTGTCTCACAGAAAGTATGCAGTCCACTGCATACATTCCACTTCGGAACAACACCTAAGTGTCTGCAACTCTGTCGCACCAACCGATGCGTTGGATCCGTCGCAAACACTGCTGATGGAACCGCTCTAGATATCGCGTATCCCGCCCATAAATTGTCCACGTTTCACTGCCGTATAGAAGAACGGACAGCACCATGGATTTGTACACCATCATCTTCGTGCCAATGGTAAGCGGATGGTTGTTCCACACTCGGTACTCAAGCTTCCCGAATGCCGCAGCTGCCCTTAACACGCAGATGCGCAGCTCACTGTGTATCTGCTGTTCAGTCGAAACAGCACTCCCAAGGTAGCAGAAGCGGGAGATGGCTTCTAATACTTCAGCACCAATGCTGATTCACGGCACCATTGTAGATTGCACCTCCAGTGAAGGCTGAGAGCCTGAGACGGTTTTGCTTGTGTTGTTGGTGAGCCCGAATTTGGACGCTGTCGAAGCCAGAGCATTAGTCATGTGCTGCAACTCATCCGCTCTGTGTGCAAACAACGCACAGTCGTCAGCGCACAGCAACATACGGATAGTTGTCTCACAGACTAGGGTTCTCGCACCGAAATGACGGATGTTCGTCAACCCACCGTCAATACGGTGCTCCACACGAACACCGTAAGCAAAAGCCGCATCAAAAGCACAGGACAACATTGCATGAAGATATATATTAAACAGGGCAGGAGCTAAGACACAGCCTTGCTTCACACCTGAGGCAACTGCAATGTCATCTGAGGTCTATCCACTCGGCTGCAGCTTCGCCCGCATACCATTGTACAGACATTCAATTAAGCTTACAAACTTACGCTGGCAACCAAACTTACTTTACACCAGCCACAATGCCTCGCGGTTCACCGTATCAAACGCCTTGGTGAAATCAGCAAAAAGCGAGTACAATGGCTGGTGTCGTTCTCTGCACTTCTCTTGCAACTGACGAGGCGCAGAAACCATATATATAGTGCTGCGACCCGAACGGAATCCCCACTGCTCTTCCGCCACTTTAGGTTCCACAACCTGACTGACGAGGCGGTTGAGCAGGATTCGGGCAATCGCCTTGCCCACAGAACTCAGTAAGTTGATGCCACGATAATTCGTGTAACATTACTTGCTCCCTTTCCCTTCGTACAGTGGTAGCACAAAGGCATCCTTCAGCTCAGCAGGCACCACCTCCTCAATCCATACGCATTGCACCAAGTGGTGCATCGCAGTCATCAACGCGGGTCCGCCGTGTTTCACTACTTTAGGCGGGATCCTGTCGGCAGCGGCACAGTTGCCGTTTCGCAGCTGAGCAAGTGCTCTCTGCGTCTCATACAGTATCGGTGTGTCTTCCAGACTCGCGTTCACATCGTACTACTTGAGACCGTTCAGTGTAGGCCAGTCGATCTCTGAACGGTTGTTCAAGAGAGAGTCGAAGTGTTTTCGCCAGATCTGCATTATGTCTGCAGTCTGTGTACAGGTAGTGCCTGAACTACCATCGATCAGTGTCCTAAGCGACTCCAATCTCGGTCTATACACCAACTTGATGCAGTCGAAGAATTCTTTGTGTTGGCGGTGTTCAGCGTAGCATTCGATCTGCTTCGTCTTCTCCGTCCACCATGCATTTTTAATGCGACTGAGCTCGCGAGTCAGTCGCAGTTGATTTCTGCGAAACTGGCTTTGCTTCCCCAAGTCACTGGGGTCTGCCACATGTGCAGCAAATGCTGCATTCTTCTCCGACACCAATGCGCCGATCGTCGCATTGTTCTCATCAAACCAATCAAGCCGCTCACAGTTTGCGCGCCTGTTGATGTCCTCGGCAGTAGCTGTCAACCGGTCGCGAATGTGGTGCTACAGGTCGTCCACTGTGGCTATGCATTCGACATCACACAGGTGTGCAACCATCGCCTTCTGCGGCTCAATACGGTTCTCCACAGTACCGAGGGAGAGAATGTTAAATTTACGCCGAGTCACGGCGGGAGTGCAATACATAGATTTATGAAAATATATACAGTGGATTCCGGTTAATCGGACCACATCGGGACCAGACCATTTTGGTCCTATTAAGCGGCTGGTCCGATTAACCGAAGTTACCCGATGTAACAAGATGGGACGTGCTATACATAACATAGGAAACTACTATTATGACCTGTATTGGCGGCATATATTTATAGCAAACACACAAAAAAGAACTGCTTTGATAACGAACTTTGTTCACTGAAAAAGTAATTTACAAACAAATTCTTCGTAACGACCTACAAGATATTCAGCATGCGAAGTACAGTTTTATACAAAGGGATTACCGAATTCCATTCAGCGTTTGAAGACCGTATCCAGTGTGGTTTGACGCATTCTTTTAACAGACTGCATTCGCAC